ACATGCAATCAGTCAATAGGATAACTATAAAGAATATGAGATTTGGACTAGTGGTAGATGAAATAACACAAGTTTTTTTAGGGCATGTCATTTATTCTAGTAGACATTTATATCTGAATTATGAAGAATTTCAATTAGCAAAAGAGAATAGAGATCTAATCAATATGAAGACTCTTTTGGTTTAATGCATATGTGTATTTTGGCTCAAGGTACAATTAATTTAGTAGCTCATATGCAAAATGCAATGAACTAAATTTTTAAAAAGTTTATGCCAAAAAAGACCATATCTTTTTTGAATGATGTTCCAATCAAGGGTTGTAAGGAAGAAATCAATGGTTTGACTTTGAAAGAGGATGGATGCCATATATTTATAAAAGAATATATTAAAGATGTAGAATGAATTTTAAAGAAATTTAAAGAGATAAATTTTACTTTATCTCTTGAAAAATCTACTTTTGGATTTAATAAAATTATGATTGTTGAACATTTATACAAAAGCTATGGAAAGAAATCCAAGTTAGAGAAGATAGATGCTATAGCAAAATAAAAGTATGTAGAGACATCATTAAGGTAAGAAGATTTTTGAATACTTGTGTATTTTATCATATATGGATTTCTCATTATGTTTATTTTGTGGAGTCTTTGTATTTTTTATTGAAAGAAAGGAAGAATTTTGTATACAATGATGAGCAAGAAATGGTCATTAATGAATTAAAGGTGATTTTAAAATCACCATTGGTATTAAAGCAAGTAAACTATAATTGTAGAAGACTAATGATAATAAAAATTGACTCAAGTCTTATAGCTATTGGATGGGCTATTGGACAAAATGATAAGGAAGGTAATTAGTTTGTAATTAAGTTTGTAATATGAGGTGATTAATTTCAATTCCACTGTATATCTTGTAAAAAAACCACATGCCTCTGCCACATTAAGCTCACCCTGATCTACTCTTATTCTTCCAATGCTTCCATAGCGACATATAATATCTCTTAAAATAAATCAACATATCACCTCTATACACTTTGATCTCAATGTCCCTCCTTCTATATAATTAGAGACTTCTTGTCTTGCCAAAATTAAATACTTCATATTCCAAATTTCTATTGGTATAGCAATTAAATCAATCATCCATTGAAAATAAATAGCAAGTGGATAGATAGGGCATAAACCAACTCTATACCTCACCTTGGATTGCAATTAGTATTCTATACAAGAGCTCAAAAATTCCTCCACATTCTTATACAAGCTCTTCTACTAATAGCACACTTTCATGTTGATATAGATAGTGCAAACTCCTCTATATCCACCCTACAATGTATCATGAAATTTATCTATCTTGTGTTTGATCTTCAAATCATCCATTACTCTTAATAACATATCATTACTTCTCTTTAACTTCTTCCATAAGAATCTATTATGTAAAAGATAGTTATAGGATTGGTGCCTAATATCCTTAAAGGTCTTATCCATCCAATCTTCTTGCCTCTTCATAATGCCCAAATATATAATAATTAGGTTTATAATAAGAGATTATAAATTTACAACCAAGATATGTTGAAGAATGAAATAATAGAAGAAATTATGATGAAACATCTTATCAAAGGAGAAGAAGAGAACTAATTCAAATAAGAGATTTTATAAAAAATTTATTGTAGCTAAAAAATGATATATATAATTAAAATAAATAAATAAGATAAATATTATTATATATCATTTTTTAATAAAATATTAATTATTATTGTTTAATATTACATGTCATAGGTATAATACTTGAAATGCATTAGTAGAACTTTAGAATTTACAAACAATGTTCTTATTTATAGAGTAGCAAAATTATAATATCTTAATATAATTTTCTTTTTTTCCTTTTTTTCTTTTTTTAATTGATATATTATTATTTCTTAATATATATATGTTTTTATAAAATTAATAGTTATTTAATCTATTATTAGTGGTTATTTCAGCTTTTGAGATGTTAAGAGCAATATCAAATTAGAAGTATATGAGAAATTGTTGCTTCTAGAGTGGTTTGCAAATAAATACTAGTGATTTTGTTGCACATTAGAATTTACTACAAAGAATAGACTATTTTTTTAATTTTTATAGAATTTATTACAAACAACAGAATTGAAATAGCTCATGGACTCAAATTTTGAAAGAAGATGCCATTTAAAGTTATAATTTTAACAAACTTAGATTTACTAAGAGGCAATCAAAACCTAAGCCAAAGCACTCAATTTTGTAAAAAAGAATCTACTGCATCAACTCTGAAAGATTATAAGAAAGTAATACAACCAAATTTGAAGGCAAAATTTAGAAGTTGGATGCAACTTCAAGTCTTCTTTTTAATAAAATTAGTTGGATTGAATTTGAAGCTTGTAATTAGCTATGGTATGTTCAATTATAAAGGTGGATATATGAATAGGTTTAGAAGTACCAACCACCTTAATTTTTTACTTAGATGATATTATAAGTCCATTAGTTAGCTATTATGAATGAATTATTTGAATAAAATTTGATAATAAAATTGATTTCTATTGGAAGAAATATTTTATGGATGAAATTATATCAAATTGGATGAATTTTAGTAAATAATTTTTTTTAAGTAGATTAATTTTCATTCACAATGAAAAACCATTCTTAGATGAAAAATTCTTTATAGATGAAAAATTATTCTTGGATGAAGTTTTAAATTTGGATAATAATTAATATTAAAAAATTAAATATAATAAGTATATAAAAATTATCTTCAAGTGTATAGTCTTTTGAATTATTTAAGTGGTTGTATTGTAATGTTATAAATTTGAGAGTGTCATTTGATCAATTAGAAAGCTTAGTGATTTTTAACTATGAAATAAGAAAAAAAATTAGCTAATTAATTCACAAGTAGTAATTGTGAGTTGAAAAAAACTTTCTATTAGAGGATTTATTTGACTCACAATCAAAGAGTAATTAAAAGTATTCAACATAAATCATATGCTAATAGGATTTTTGTTAGAAAACTTAGACAATTAAAATTATTGTCAAGTAGATTAGACTTCCAACTAATCAGGATTTATTTTAGTTTATAATATATTTAGTAGAAAAGATAGACCATTCTATATTATAAAGCTCTTTAGAAGTTGTGCTCATTACATTAGTCTAATCTATAAAGAATAACAACCAACATGTTTTCAATTAAATTGCAAAATATTTCTTTCAACTAACTAATACATTTTTTTAAATATACCATATGTAAAGTTAAACAATAGAAGTAGAAAAGAGAATTTTAATAGAATTTATTAATGCCAAATCTTTGTTAGTACTAATGTAAATGTGTAAAATATTTTTATACATTAGACTACTTATATTAATATCCAACAAAAGAAAGTTTCTAATTCTCCTTGAAAAAAAAACAACCACAACAATAAAATATATATATATATATATATATATATAGTAAAATTGGTAGTTTCCACAATATGTAATATGAGCATTCTAAACCAATTTATTTTATAGATACAATCCATAATAACAAAGGATAAATATCTCTTTGCAAGTTCAACATATCCACATTTTACAAAAAAGTAAAAATTTATCTTATTTCCTTTATTGCATCAATAAGTAAATTCATAATCAGCAGTACACAAGGTTTTTATAAGACAAATAATAGACAAACAACCATCAAGGGTGATCTGATGTAAGTATTAGTACTTATTATAAATAGTACAAGCAATTATACAACTTCTAAGATCTCTTTCACATACTACAATCACTACATTGGTGATATCCTTGCAAGAAGCATTGGGGTTGTCATCTCTTTCTCTATTTGTTGAAGTTGCCAAGTAATGAAATGACCTATAAATGATACTAAAGTTCCATGATAATGGTGACCATTTTGTATTGGCAAATACTACTATGTACTACCTTGCAAATAATATACATATAACTTAAATAAGCACCCAATCAATTTGCTTCTTATCTTTTGTTAATAGATGAAGTTGTTGCATCGACTATAAAGTTATACTTTCTTACATTTAAAATCTATGCAATGCATGTTACATCATTGTTTTCAAACTACATATCCTTAAGCATATATAATTCTATTTATATATATTTTTAATGTCTTTAAATCATTTAAAAGATCCATATTCTAGAGGAGACATGTATGACATGTTTTTTATTTTAAAATACAAATAATCTTAGAATAGATAGTTTCATCTCTCTTCTTAAATACTAGGTACAATATCAAATCTTGCAAAACCACAATGCAAGGTGAAAAAGAAGACGATTGATTATATAAGAAGATATAATCTTAATAAGATGGAACAAAAAAAAGAGACCGTTTATTATAGCCATTGATTATTAATTATTGTTATTAATGATATTTCCATGATTGTGTGAACAACATTGTTTAAAAGCCATGATTATATCAATTCAAATAAGCTAATTAATAATGATAAGTAAATCAATTTAATAAAAGCCTTGATCAATTTAACATTCATGTATATATATATATATATATATATATATATATATAATTGTTATATTAACCTAGGTATTTACTAAATTAATCCACTTATCCTAACCATCATCACAAAATTCTCCATTATCAAGTCTACATTGGTCTAAAATCAATGAAAAAATTATTGAATCATCAACCAATGATTATAGATAAATTGATTTATTAAATGCATGGATCAATTTAACAATTCCATATATATATATATATATATATATATATAATTTTATAATTTATTTAATAGTGTTTTTGCAATAACACATCATAATAGAACAAACTCTAATGTATACACAATGTCTTTATGAGTATAAGTTCTTAAATTTTATTCAATAATTTTTAATTATATTATCATAATGTATGGTTTTATCTTTTTTATGTGCATTTCAAAAAGTTTAAAATACATTTGAAAATATTTTTTTTAAAAAATCAATTAAATAGAATAACTTCTCTAATATAAAAACATGCTGACAACAAAATAACACATTTGTTGACATAATGAATTGATGATAATGGCAATTTCAGAAACAAGTATGACACAACATTCCAAAACTTATTCATTCGACAAGCTTGCTAAAGAGTTTAATAAAAATATGTAAGTTTTTTGACGTTTTTTCTTTTCCTATTCAATACAACAGCTAGCACTTTCCCCAATATAACCATATTTTAGATTCAAACATGAAGAGAACATGTGGATATTCTCTTCGCAAAAGGGACCCACCTTCTCACCAGAGCCTCCAATGCTGGCCAAGAGGTGGAAAGAATGTTGATAGTGGCTGTTGCTTGAGTTGTGTGTGCTTGCAGGGAATTCAATAACGAAGACAAGGAGTTTAATCTACGTAACCACCCTTCGGCATGATCTTTCACCATCTTTCGCTCTGAATATGCTTTGTTGTTGGCTGCCGAAGAAGTCCACCTGATTATAGTAGAAATATGAGTTGGAGTTGAGACTATCCGGATGGATGTCCTCGTAAGCAAAGCCTTGATATTTGCCCTCAACGCGTGCCAAGCAAACTTCCAGCATCTTCTTCATCGTTGGACGCGTGTCGAAGATCGGCTGCGCTTTGAACTCTGACAATGGCATCCACTGAGGGACAAATAACATGACCGATAATTTTTTATTTCAGCTCAGCAAAGGGCACTTCATTCAGAACGATTTTCGAGTGGTGTTGGAGTTATTTGATATAGTAGGCCAAAGAACCTGACATACCTTAGCTGCCGCAATTTCTGATTCCTGAGCTACAATCTCGGTGGAAGTTGGACGGAGTATGCATAAAAAGAATAAATCTGACTTGTCAAATTGACATTGGTGACCTTGCCTGAAAGAACAATCTAGATTCAGATTCTAGTGTAATTAAAAGTACTGGAACAGGTGTACGTTTTGAATTAAGTGGACCTATGAAACAGAACCAGCAACACACTCAACTTACCTGAATCCCACAACCTCCACGAAGCGTGCGTCCACCTGTTCATTCCATACACACAAATCAATGAAAGATCTCCTTTGAAAGTATATCCAAGGAAGACACTTAACTCTCTATACAAACTCTGCAGGGATGTTGTAGGTCCACCACTTAATGCATTTTTTTCCGATGAAGGTGACCACAACGTTGATAGCACAATCGCTATCAATAGCAGCTCCTGATAGTTGGTATGGAGGACTTTAACATCCCTCGCGCATCCACTATGAACTACTATTTTTCAGAGTTAGCACTACTTGTAAGCTGTAATCGAGTGAATGACAGACTGCCCAAACACCTGCCTAATTTCGAACACGCATGCATAAGTGCGTCAAGGTGTTATAATGTGTGTTAAGAGTGAAGTAAGATTCATCTGTCCTAAACTTACTCAGAACTACTGAGGTAGGATTACATTTATCAGCCCCTGGTAAACATCAACTTTGTGATAACATTCCTGCAGCAAGCGCTGCACAATTCGCGAGCCCTCGTTGCAGTTAAACAAAAACATGTATAAATAGACTGCAGAACCCAAACTAAGAGTTTTTGTGGAAAGTATGCGTACCCCCGTTTCTTCTTTCACTTCTCTGATAGCTCCATCAAAAATATCCTCTCCCTGCATAAATGAATAAATCTCCATTAATTAGATGAGCTTTTCGGATGTTCTTAACAAAGGCCCCTAGCACAAGGGATTCAATAATAAGTTTCACCTGATTACAGGAGCCCTTCATCCTTATTACAGGAGCCCTTGTGCAAGAGGGGCTTTTGTTAAAAACCTAGGATCGGATTTACAAAAATGGATGCAACTTGCAACTGCCAAAGTACGAGAAAATGTCGTCTACACCTCTAGCGCTTCTTATGAAGTACTAATTTGTGTATGACTATGGATACATGCGAGCTTATTAGCTTGAACTGAATTAAGTCGGATGAATACGAAGATTATAAAACAAATGGCTATAACAAAAACAGACCTGATTGGTGAGCCCCGTAGGCATCTTCCAAACTCCGGTACCTTTTAGAGGACCGTTCTTCTCTTGGACTGCCAGAATCTGGTCCAAAAATGCAATACACAATTTAAGTTTCAATCAACCTAGCACGAGGTTTTTGCACGGTAACTTTCCCCGATAACTTCCTTTCCATAGGCAGTTGCATCACCAAGAGGTTAATTCCATCGGCATGTGCAGAATGATAATGAGTATACATTTGCTTGCAATTTCATCTCTAATCACTGGAAATTGTTGCTCTAAAACTTAAGGAAAACTGTGAAACATGGCTGTTGTGAATATCACAGGATTAAGAATAACTGCTATTCACCAAAGACTACATCCATCATCATAAAACATTGCATCTGCCCATTGCGAGACTGAAATTTAGGTAATCAGATATCTACACTTTGAAAAGCTCCTACTCCACTCCAAGCAACCATTCTTAATCTACCTCAAATGTGTTGTACAGTATCAAGTAAATTGATACCTCATTTTTGTCATTCAGGACGAAGGCCCCTACACCAACTTGGTGCGATGCATTCGGTGGTAGGGTACAAGGTCCATCTGGAAGCCACAAGGTGAGCATCAGATATGCTGGTTCCGCATGGTGATATCCAAAACCTGCCTGCACCACTTTATAAAACTTCATTAGTGAATTGCAATTTATGTTTCTATCCATGCAAATTAATGCGACAAGATGCTCAATAAGAAAAAACCACAGGGATCGATGAAATCACCGACATACTGTCCCTTTAAGCCTTATTAATGCCTTAGAGACCTACCGCAACTGCAGCTTCAACCAATTTGACGTTCTCTATTGGCAATTTGAGCCAAATACCATGCTTCCTCTGTCACACAAGAACGACATTCAATGTGAGACAATTTTCTCATATATACACTAATCACACACCCTTATCTTGCTCCCTCGATACAGCATTAACTAAGAAAGCATCTATAGCAGACTGGGTGATCTGACGTAGTTCTCACGCGGAAATTCGAAAAAGAGAAATGTGTTACAACCAAAACTCACTGCAGCACACAATATATTGTAAGCCATAATCACAGATCAAACAAAGTAATGAGAGATATCAAAACCTAAATCCCACTAAGCTTCTGGAGGGCTGATTTTGAATTGCAACTCCTATGCCATCTCCTTTACGTGCTAACATGTCTTCTTATCACTAAAAGGGGGAAATTTACAAGCTTCAGGCATATTTTACATTAATTATACTGTCACAAACATAAAGGAGCTCTTAAATTTTCTTAAGAATGCATGACTACGGCTTCTGATTCTCTCACAATATGATCGCTTTATCTCGAATTACTTAAGCTGGTACTAACTTGATTGAACAAAAGGCATGCTCGTCATCTTTAACGGTCGTGATATGTATAGCTTGGAAAATGAAAGCATGTAGATTGAAGCACAGCCTAACCTGCCGCCGATTATCAGCAGACGCATGAATTGCAGCCAAACTACTAATCTGATCCAATGCTGCAAAGGAGCTAATTTTCCAAGCACACAGAGTGACGATAAATGCAGGCTTGGTACCTCCTTTTTCCACTGTGCAATCGACGCAATCAAATACTTCTTGAAGACGGAAGCATCACTTGGCAAGCTGCGATGATCTATAATTACACCTTCATAACTGTCATACTGCCCAGGCAGGATAGTATTGGTCCATGATTCAAGTTCCTTCTCAGATACAAATTCATCATCTGGAGGAGGCAGTGCTACACCAGTCGAGAGGTCTTTGGACGTGTCTCCATCCATTCTAAGCACCTGTCGAAATCCACTCGCATTCGTTTGCAAATGACCAGCTAGTTGAATCGCACAAATAGAAAAGAGAAAAAGAAAAAAGAAAAAAGAATTAGGTTTACGCTTGCAATTCCAGATCAACGCAATCCACCAAGGCTAATTCCTAGCCAGAACTCGGGAAAACGTAGCTACTTGCAAAAAAATCAGCAGTACTAATTGCAAAGCCATGAAATGGACCAAGTTAATCCTACTTCGACACGTTTACGAGTGAATGACTTCTCTTCCTACGTCTCCACCCAATTTCAAACCACAAAACTTCAATTCCGACACTTATAATCAAAGACGTCAAAGAAAAAAATTGAAAAAAATTGAAAACAATTGAAAACAATTGAAAAAAAATTCAGAAATAACTAAATAAATAAAATAATCCTTCATTAGAACCAGAGCCAACATAGATAAAGGCGAGATACTACCAGCAAGTAAAGCAAAACACTAACCAGATTTAGAGCTCCACGCAGAAATGCGAGACACGCGAATAACCGAGTACGAAATCCTCCCAGCGGCAGCTCTCGATCCAGCCAAACTTTCAAACCACCTGCTGGACACCGCAATAATCCTACTGCACCGGTTGCAAAACGAAATGCACACCATCGCTATCAGGAATTCCCAGTTCGCAATGCCGCGACGAGACCACCCACGAACGCACGCACGCACGGACAAACAGCATCAACACAATCGAGGTGGGGCTGGCTCTTTCCCGAAGACGAGGATGGATGACCAGGGTTGATGATATCTATCATTCATCCTAACTGACAAGAATTGTTCCGGCTGAGCCTCTCCGTCGACGAATACGGAAGAGTTTCGTTGATCGGGAACGAATGATTATTCGTTTGTTGCCTGTGGCGATAACGAGGAATACTTTACCCTGATAACTTGGAAGGGAATTAGAATGCTGAACACAACGCTGATGCATTCACACTGCCATGTACTTAAAAGAAAATGGGAAAAAAAAATAGTACACAGTGACTGGGGGTTCACAATTTCTTCATGCTTTGTAATGAAGTTGTTGATGTTTTTCGAGTTTTATCTTAAATGTTTTACAATTCAAATGACATGATTTTTATTTTTTTATTATTTCTTATAATTTTTTATTGTCTTTTGCATGCTCTTATATGACTATTTAAAGTAAGTAAATTTCAAATGAGTATGTATTTACACATGCATACACGTTAAATTATGACTATTTGTAACTTTAGTTTTATTTCTATATATATATATATATATATATATATGTATGAAGATGATATTTTGAAACAAATTATTTTTTACTGGCTTGTAATAAGATTGGCGTAAAAGATTTTATTTAAATAAAATAAAAAAAAATGTTTGTATCAATGTGTATGTGTATCTTCTATTAGATACTATGTATTTAATTGACATCTCCATATTAATTAATTATTTAGATTTATCATGAGTTATTATAGAAAATATATTTATAATAGCCTATCAATTTCATAATGTGACATGACAAGAGAAGTTTTTCTAAGTTCAGTAGACTTTGGTAGTAGCCAAATTATTACTATGTTTGCACTAACAAGTCTTCAATTGTAGACTTATGCCATAAGAATCCAAATCCAAAACTTATGCTATAATCTTATGTAATTCAAGTATTAGTAAAGAAAATATGAAGATATGTATATATATATATATATATATATATAATAATTTTTAAAATTTTATAATTTTAATTTTCGATTTTATTATAATATTTAAGCTACTCTTTATAACATATCTTAATTTTAAAATGATACAAATATAAATAGAAGCAAATTCTAATAGATACTTTATCCTCAAAAGCCCATTTTAAAAGGCCATTGTTCAAGAGCCTTATTAAGGTCCATTGTTTGGTATGAAAAATTCTTCTTTGTGGCAGCCATATCTTTCAAATATAATACAAAGTAAGCATAGATTTTAAAATAGACCAAATCATTGTTTTATTACAAGTCTTAATTCATATCTTAATTTAAATAATTATAAGAAATACAAAAAAAAAACTTGATTTTTAGTTCTTTAATTTTTTTTGAACCATTTTTTGACTTAGCTTTTAAACTTTTTCTAAAAACCAATTTTTTGAGATGTACTTCACACTTGGATAATAAAGTGAAAGGTCTTAATTTTTTAAAAAATTGATTAGTTGAAATTAAGAAACCTCCTTAAATTACCAATATACTTAGAAAAATAAATCCAAATACTCTACAACAAGAAAAATGAGGTAGAATGCATTTTTTTTTCTATGTAGCATATATTATATTGTCATTTGGAATTTCTATTGGATACATCTTATAGGCACCTTATATCTAAAATTCCACTTTAAAAGATTGTGTATCAAAAGCCTTACTTGATAAAAAAAATCTTTTTTTGAAAGCATGGTTCTTTAAATATAGTATAAAATAAGATATAAAAAATATCTATATTACTTAAATAGATTAAAATAAATAAGAAAAAATGGAAGTGCATAAAAAACATATTGAAAAGATAATATGTCCTTTAAAAAGCTTATAAGATTTTTTTTAGAAGTGGATTAGATATTTAGGCTTTTAATAATATGTCATGTAATATAAAGAAAATAATATCTAACAACCATGATATAAAAAAAAATACTTAACAATGTTTGTTGCCTCTGCCTTAACCTTAGCTTCATAATATACTAAATTTAGAAAAAATATAACTTTGGCTTAAAATCACTATAAAAATAATCAAGTACATTACTATTGTAACCAAGGTTTATTATATATTTTTTACAATGACTTCTTTAAGTTTGAATATAAAAATCTCTTCTATCTAATATATTGAATTTAACTAAATTTTTAACAAAGACTTTTTTGATAATATATGGTCATGTCCAAAGAATATTAAAGTTGTCTAAAAATTCTAATTTTCTAGTCTCTTTAACCATCACCCACATCTATAGAGTAAAAAGATATTTTTAAATTTTTTTTGTCAAATATTTCTATTCTTCTCTTTTAAATAGTTTCCATATATTAGATTGAAGTTCTTTGAGTTTTATTTAGTTTTTTTGAATGCTTTAATTATTCTTCTAAAGGTTGAAAAGTAAGTAATCTTTTTTCAAAGACAATGTATAAAGATAGGACTTCAAATTCTATTAATATAATAATTTCTATTCTATATAACACATAAAAAAGTATAGCCCATGTAAAAACTTTGTAAGGAGTTTGATAAGCCCAAAGAATAGAAATAAGCTTAAGATTCTAATCACGCTTAAAATCAATCATAATTCTTTTATTATCCAAACTAAATTTTAGTACATCCTTTCTATAAGATCTTTTATTTGAGGATAATAAGAAATAGTATTTTTATTAATAATAATAAATCATGTAATGGTTTATTTAATAGTTTCATTGAAAAGATAACTACTATTTTTACTTAAAAGAATTTTTGGAATATCAAAATAAGCTATGATATTCTTAAACAAAAATATGGTGGTTTGCTTAGCATTTTTCATTTTGACTTCATTTACTTTTGTCTACTTGGAAAAATATTTTATAGCTACAATGATAAATTATATTTTATATGAAGATGCATAATAAATAAGTTGAATATATTCTATACCTCAATTTTCAAATAAAATAAGTAGAAGTGAGAAATTTAAAGACATCATAAGATTTAAAAAACTACATCTATATTATAAACAAGCATTATATCATTTAAAAAAATAATTTAAATTAGCATATATTGTAGGCAAAAATTAGTTTATTTAAAGGAATTTTTGAATTATTAATCAACCAAAGAAGTATCTACCATAAGAACTTGAATAATAAGCTATTAAAACATATAATATATCTTTACATATAAGGCAAGGTTATAATATACTATCAATTTGAAATAATATAGTATCTTAGCTATAAGAATAAAATAACTATTATTTTTTATTTTTAGTAAGATATTAATTAATTATTAAATATTCAAAAATTAGGCAATATATTTATATTATATAAGTGCTACCATAATATAGAATAAATAAATATTTTAAAAAATTATTATCTATATCTTAAATATATATATGTTTGTAGATATTCATGAGAGGTGATTGACTTATTTATATTATTTTTTTAATTTATATTATATTATATAATAAAATTTTATAAAAAATAATATTTTTATGAATATATATATATATATATATATATATTTTTTAATATTAATATTTACTTGAATAAAAAGAATTAAAAATAAGTAAACTTAATAATATCTTATAGAGAAGCTTCATAGACATGTATTTGATTTTATAAGTATTTATAAGTGATTAATAGAATAAAAACTTAGCTAACAAGTTAGCTACATATTATATATGTTGATTACTTGTTTTATGAATTAGCTACATGTTGCATATGTTGACTACTTGCTTTACAAGTTGGCTATTATTCTTATATATTCACTACTTATTTTACAAATTGGCCACTATTTATACATATTGACTACTTGCTTTATAAGTTATCCATTGTGCATATATATTAACTACTTAATTTATAAGTTGACCATTTTTTGTACAAATTATTGATGTGGTGTACATCTTAGAAAATTTTCTTGCAAGTTATATAAGTATCTTATATGATAGACATATATCAAATGACATATAGAACATTACTAAATAATTTTTTAATTAAAATAATATATATAGAGACAAGAATGACACCTTCTATATTCTTATCAATTTTTTTCTTACTTCTAATCTAATTTGAAGAATCTATATTTTTTTTTATCTTTGGCAATAGTCATTCTTATTCCTTCTTGAATATTTATATATTTTTTATTTTCTTTATATCGTCTATTTTTAAGACAAATCTCATTTTTTTAATTTTATTTATTAAATTATTATCTTTAATAAATATCTATCTTGCTAATATTTTATTTTATTATGATTTGATTATAATATATTTAAAGTTTATTTATCTACCAAAAAAATCATTTTGTTCAATATATGATAATCGCAAAAAAATTCAATACTAAAAATTATAATTAAATATTCTTATTTTAAGATTAAATAATTGTATTCAATATTATCATAGATATACATATTTATTCTAATAATTATCTATATAATTAAATAGAAGTAGATAAAAATAGATTTATTTTATAATATATTTTAAAAAAACTTTTTAAAAGCTTCATAGACACTCTTTTGACTTTATATATATATTTATAGTTGATTGTTAGGCTAGAAACTTGATCAACAAGTTCACCACATGTTAATAGCTTGTAAAACAAGATAAATATGTGGTATACATATAACAAACTTACCTTACAAGTGAAGATACATTGTTGTACTAAAATTACTTATAGTATGTAAAAATTAATTAAAACATATAATATGGTTATAAGTCTTAATGTGTATTAGAATGGTTAATAGGTTAATTTAAAAATAGTTGATGTAAAAAAATTTATTTTGAAATTTACTTATTTTGGTAATAGTATTTAAATTCTATAAGATTTAGATATTTAGTATAAAGTTTTAGAGAAGATAGAAACTCAAAGATGAAGATCCAAACTACTAAAATGCTTATTTGGAGGGATGAAAGTAAGATATGGGCAGATGAAGGCAAGGGGTGAAGGTCTTCATCCTTAATGGTCAAAAGCCATGCCTAAAAGGCTTTCAAGAAGTTGCTTGCGATCATAACAAGGATTTTGGCAACTTTAAAAGGAAGCATTTGAAAA